TCCACGCGGGTACTGCTGACCTGGTTTGAACGGTACTTAGTTCCCTCACCGCGGCGCCGGCGCCGGGCCGCGCCCAGGCCCCCGCGCGCGCAGAGGGCGTCGACACCACACCACCACCACCACTACCAACAACAACAACAGCGCCAGCACCAGCCGTGGCGCACTTTCGCGGCCTCGCAATGGGAGCGCAACGATGCGGCCAAATTGTCTTTTACACCTCAGCAGAACTCACGCAATACTAAAAGGGGTACGGCATCTGGGCCTGAGCCCGGCCCCGTGCACACTGCACTGTAAGTAACTACATTTCATTTTACTTGGGTGGGTAGAAAACGCGTCGGGGCCAAGTTTTTCATACCGCTTCCAAGTAACTGGGCAGGGCTAATGTGGTGGAGAGAGCATCCCATATCAGGGGAGGTAGATGCATGCCATGTCAGCTGTCAGTCAGTTTGGGCGCCCCACCCCGGTGGGACAGACAGACGGACAGACAGCCTTATCTCCACGAGAATAAAGAGCACATAGAGAGGGTGCCCGCTCCCTTCCACGATGCAGTCGTGCCGTGTGGTGATTTATTATTGTTGTTTTTCAATTTACCTACAAACTGTTTTCCAAAAGGCAGGGGGGACATTTTACGTAGTGGACACCTGATCTGATCGAACGAACGAACGACAGGATGTGATCAAGGCGGTTGGCAAGCTTGACGCGGGGAGTATGTAGGGCATCTGGAGCATGAGCTGGCCGGCAGGCGGGGCGGGGCTGGGTGGGCGCAGGTGGGGCCCATATCACCGCGCCTATATCAGGGCAGCGAGCAGGTCTTTTGAGGCCTGAGCAAATATGACCATGACCGTGAGTCACTCCATCGGCCGTGCTTTTGACGGCGACCCCCGCCGCTCCGCCACGCTACGCCACGCCGCAAGGTGTTCCCCTCCCCCCGCCCCACCCCGGAGCCCCCCGCAGTGCAGGGAAGACAGGTGAGGTGAGGAGGGAGAGGGGGAAGTTCTACTCCTCCTCCAGGTAGGTATAGTTAAGGCCCTTGCAGCGGCCAGCTCCAGCTCGTAACAGGTGCGCCGCGAGTAGGCGCGGCACGGGCCGCAGGCGCGGAGGCGGGCGCGGGGGCGGCACCGGCACCGCCGCTCGCATCCGCCCCCGGGGCTGCTGGCGCCGCACTGCAGCAGTCAGTCGGCCCCGCCCCCGCGCCGCCCAAACAAAAGGGCCGATCGAACAAAAGCGGGCGACCGGAGGAGAACTAGTCGCCCGGCGAGGAAGGACACGCGAGCAGACGTCCCCCGAAGCTCATCCAGGGCCTCATCATCCCGGCAGCAGCAGAGGGGCTGCTCTGTAAGCCTCGGGGGAGGAGGACGACGACGACTCCACCCCCGAGAGAGCAAGGGGGATAATTCTCAGAGTGTACAGAGAGGGTGCGCAGGGGGAGGATACAGCCCGCCCCTCGCGGGATGGAGCAGCGCCGCCGCCGCGTCGGGGGCGGACAAGACCGGCCGGGGGCGGCGCGGCGGCGGCGGCGGCGGCGGGGCCGAGCGCGCCGCGTTGCCATATCGGCCGTCTGCAGAGCCCTGGAATGAGCGAGCCTAGACGCTCATGCGACGCCGCGCCACCTACCGGCATCGGCTCAGAGCCGCTCAGCTCGTCTCCGGGTGCGCTCAGCTCAGCTCAGCTCACTGAGCCGGCGACGCTCAGTCGGGGCGACAGGGACAGACGTATCTAGCAGCGGTGAGTGCGAGAGAGACGCGAGCGCCCGGCTGGCCGGTAGACCGTCGATACTCCCAGCTCGAGAGACTTTACAGAAGCTCTACCTACCCTACCTCACACCACGTTTTGGAAACGAGCGTCCGGGCTCGCTCATTCCAGGGCTCTGGCCGTCTGGCACCGGCGCAGGGAGCGAGCCGAGCCGAGTCGAGCCGGGCCGCACACGATCCTGAGCGAGCCGGTGCCGGTCGCCGGCCGGCCGGTGCGAGGGCAGCCGCACCCACGACTCTGCAGCAGCCACCCACCCACAGGCAGGGGCAGGGCGACAACATCAGCTGACAGCCCGCCGGGGGAAGAAGTTACCGCACCGCGGCCGAGGATGGCGACGACGAGGTGGTGGTTCGCGATGGGAGGGGAGCGGGAGGGGAGGTCCACGATGACGACGGCGAGGATGGCGCTGACGGGGCACGTCGGCTACGGGTGGGACCCGCCCCGCGCCCGCGAGCCCCCGCGCGGTGCCCCGCGGCCCCGGCCCCGGCCCCACCGCCCGCTGATGGGCGCCGCATCGAGGAGCCCCTTTTCCTTTCGCAATAACCGCTCGCCTGTATCGAATAGGCCAACAGGCCCGGCCCGCCCGGCCGGTGCCCGGTCGGTCGGACCGAGGAAGGGGCCCAACTCCCCCGCCGCCGCCGCCGTGTCCAGCCCCGCGCAGTATTTACGGCAGGTCGGTCCACGGACCACCGCGCAGGCAATATCCTGTGGCCCGGGCGGCCGGCCCGCGAGATCGAATCATCGGGCCGAACCACATCATCGGGGCCTAAAAGAGAGCGGCGTTTGATGGTTCGCCCGAATACAAGTGGGTGATGAACACTGAGCTCGGCGCTGCTGCCGAGGGCACCGCGCCATTGAGCAGAACCAGCAAAGGCGCGAGTGCGAACTCTCACTCGTCCTCTCTCTCGCTCGCTCTCTCCCCGCAGCGGAGAGTCAAGTACTACAGAGGACAGGGGATGGTTGGAGGAGGGGAGCGATGGCCAGCGCAGGGCTGGCAGGGCGGCAGCCTGCGCAGAAGGCTCCTCCTGAATTCGCACTAATTTATTATTCCCGTATTATTCCTCCCCTGCTAAGCAGTTAGTTCCTTCCGTCCTTCCTTCCTGGCTCCACTCCCCCCCGTGCCAACGACTTGGCTTAATTAAATCTCAGACCTGGAAAATATACCGAATCGCCAGTTCGCTACGAACAAGCAGTCGTTATAACCCTTTTTGAAGTTGAAGAAGAAGCTTGCGCGGCGGCAGCAGCGAGGGAGGGGGAGAGAGAGGATTGCAAATCCCGCGCCGCCCGGCGTTGCGGAAATCCTTGCGCCCTTGAGAACGCGCGCCTCGGCTCCAGGAGGCACCCTTCCTCGACTCGATCGAGCCGTCTTTGTATCAGCCTCGGGCCGCGCGGTGACACCTTGGCACGCCGCTCGCGAGGAAGGCCCCCATCCCCAAAGGTCGCCGGCCCCCTCCCCGAGGTCAGCAGCGCCGCCGCCACGGCCTCCACGGCGTCGTGCTGCTCCGCGGCCGCGCGCCCGATCGAATGACTTGGGGGGTCGCCTTGAGTTTGTTGGGGCCGGGCGCGCGGAGGCGAGCCATGCGGCGAGCAGCAAGTCGGGGAAATAAATCGATAAAGCCGCATACACATCGGGCTCGCTCTCAAAGCTCAGCAGCAGCCGACGACGAGGAGGAGGAGGAGGAGGCGAGGAGGTCCATCTGCTGGCAGACCCGACCGACCCGACCCGCAGAGCGCAGAGCCGCCGCCGCGGCGCGAGCCAACCTGGAGCAGCTCCATTCAGTGACGGTCGGGGTCCTTGGGCGCAGCACTGCGGCCCAGCCACTGGAGAGCTACTGGAGGGTGGTCGCCATTCAAGCGGTCCGCCCTGGACTTGGGTCGCCGTCGGGGGATGCTGTAGCCGGTGACCCGACCCCGGCAGGGTCGGCGAAGGCAACGGCGGGGTCGTGGGACGAGCAGAGAGCCCCCGGGGGCCGGCCGGCGGCGTGGGAAAAGAGACGGGGCTATCTGCAGCGCGGTCGCGGGTCGGGCCGGGCCTCTGGCGGCGGCCGCTTTGAGGAGAGCGTTGACGCAATGGCAAATGTTTACTCCGAGCCGTCCGCCGTCGGCGTCGCGGTCCTCGGAGGCGTCCTCTGCGTCCCACACTCGGCGTGGTGACGGCGAAATCCCCCCCTCCTTCCGAGTACCGAGTTGCGAGGGTTTGTCGCCAGCAGCGCACCCCTTGAAGGACGACGGCCACCTTGTTCCTCCTCCGCTCCCCCGCGCCTCGCCGCCGAGGGAGGGAGCCCTCCGCACCTGGCTGGGCAGCAGACGGGCTGGAAGGGGCGGGGCGGGGCGGGGCGGCTGCTGCTGTGCATGGCACGCGCGGGCGCACCTGTCCCCGTGCTCCTGCACACGGTCCCGCCCCGTCCAACGAGTACACTACACAGCAAAACTAGGAGCTAAAGCAGGAGGATAATGAGGGTTGACACCGACCCAGGTTGGTTACAAGGCGGCTTTCAATGAGTGCATTACAACAGAATGCACCCCTGATGCTTACGACATTTAAATGCACTGCATGTTTCATCAATTCCATTCCAACTTCCATCCAATTTCAAGACCAAACTACTACATTCTGCCGCCCCTCGCCTAAAATACACATTAAAGCAACTCTAGCTTTCAGTCAACCAGCAAACTAATTGGAATTGAAACAAAATTATTCCTACACAAGAAAAATAATAATGCATGAATGATTTTAAAATTGAACATACTTGAGTGTCAATGATATGAGACGGGAAAGTAAATCCCAGAAATATCAACAGTAAGAGGGAAATCAAATGTAAACAACCAAGCCAGAAATTAGTCAGCTGATATAAGGATGCCATATACTAATTTAGCTGTAGTTCCTCAGACAAAATTTCAAAACACCAGCCTATGTTGATTTTTGACTAAAGATAAAATTAGAGGGAAAAGTTTCACAAAATGTTCGCTCAGCCCTCAAAACAAAGAAAAGGAAAAGTTTCAACAAAAGGGATGTTTCTTTTTGTTTTGTACACAGTTCCACAACCGGTGGGCAAAATAAATAAACAAATCCCATCAAGTAAACCTCAATAACCACACCAATAAACGAAAGAGAAGAAAAGTACTCGACGAGTACGTAACAAATCCCAGGGTTTGATGGGGAAAATTCGGCGACAACGCAATATGTCTATTCTGTCAAGTCGAGCTGAGAGTTCTGGGAGAACAAGCGGAATGACCGGACGTCAGCTTACCTGCAGTGACGGTATCGCTGAGATCATATTTGCCTCCAGTCTTCGGGAAATCCTTTAACTTTCGACCGCTTAACTTGAGCTCACCACTGACGTGAGCATCTTCTAAAATTCTTTCTAAAGATCTCGTTAACTGATGTGATTGTCCACTCAAGAACGACGCACACCCTTTCGCCATGTTCCATGTCTGAACGCAACTGACGCTGCTGACGCTTCGCAGTTTGCTCCGCACTCTACGAGGTGGCGGAGGGCACTGACGTCACGTAGAGACTCGCTACACGGAGAGGCGCAACCTAGCGAGTCTGGTCACGTGACAAGAAGGGTGGATCGGCCGTCCAAGATTGACGAGCTTTTTCTGTGTGATTTGAATGCCAAGTTGGTGCATAAAAAAGAATGTTCCTATTAGTTTACATAATAACCGTGGAGATTTAAAGCGATTTAAAGGGCCCGACTGCCAAGCTAAGTCACCACGAGGAGCGCTACTAGTCTGATCTCCAGCGCCCTCTACCTGGTCGAAAGCCAACTCCTTCACGTCGGCTGCTAGAGACGTCTAGAACAACAACTAAAAAATACCAAACCTTCAACTTTAGTCGGTAATGTGAGCAGCAACGATCAAAGGAGTAAATTCCTGTATCGTCGCTCAGAATTCCTCCACAGTAATTAAGTGCTCGAGATTTCCATTGTACTTGATCCTCTTTCCCTAAGAAAAAGAAATAATGTTATTCGATGCTGTGAAGAGATTCTTTGGGGTTGGAGGGAACTTGTCAAGGTAAGCAAACAAAAATTCCTTTTTATCTTTCCAAACAACTTGATTTTTGAAAATGTTAATAATGTGAAATATGTGTATAATTATTATATTATTATAAACGGTCAATTACGCATCTTTTACTGATTATGACTTGCAATGGCAAATGTGCGAACTATCTTTTAAAGTCCCCCACAACATATGTTCTATTCTTGTTTATTTTTTCAGCAATGACCATGAGCAACAACCCCAACCTGAACCACAATCACCAATATCAATTTATAATAATGGACATCTAGTGCCCTTTAAGTAAGTTACAATAGAATTCTAAATTATTATGCAATACTTTTACTATATTACTCTGATGACGACCATGTGTAACGATTTGTTGAAATGTATTAACTGTGTTTTTTAATCACCTTCTGACATTGTAGCAGAGACCATCACATGCCCCCTGACATAAGTCAAATTGAGTCGGAAATTGCTCAGGTGCATAAATTTATGGAGCAGCAAATGCGCACAATGATGGGCTCCTTTGGTTTCTCATTTGGTAACCCATTTTCTGGTTTTGGCTTTGAAGGTAGGCATCTTTCAAGGCAATATTTTCAATTTATTTGTAGTTCACCATTCTAAATTAGCTGGAACATGTTTACAGATGACAGCCATGGACCATTTATTGGATCCCCACCCTTTACTGGAAACATGCCAAATTTTCCAAATATATCAGATGGTCAAGAAATAAGTCCTCCCTTAGAACCAAGAGATGAAGTGTTAAAGCCACAGTTCAGGTCAAAGTCAGCTGGACAATGGAGTGGCCAAGACAAAATTCTTGACGATAGGTATTAATTTTAGGAAAAGATATACTTCAAATGTATCTTCTTGAAGCCTCGTTATTCACTACTCTTTTTGTTGCATCAATTTTTCTGTTAATCTGCAGGTTAAATAATGAAGGACTAAATTCAATCATAGGAGAATTAAATCCGTCAAATGGCATCATACAAGAGAGAAGTAATCCAATGGCTGATACATTCTTGCCCTTCTTTGGAAATGACCTCTTCAGGAATGGCTTATTTGGTGGGGTACTTCAACCAGGACAAGAATCCAGTTTTGTGCAGTCAAGCTCAACTATGACTGTTTATTCAAATGTTAATGGCCACAAGTCCATGGAGAAAATTGTTAGACATCCAGACGGGGTAAGTCAAAATCCATAAATTTACAATGAAAAAAGAAACCCTATTCAAGAAAGTGAAAGTCAATTTTTTTCTTAATTTAATTCACAGAGAATTGAGAGGACTGTTATAACTGATGATGGAAATCCCAATCAGTGAAAGTGATCAGTCCACCATTTCGATAACCTGCCATGTAAGCAGCTCTAATACTTCCGATGTAACAATCTCTTTTGTCAATATTTCAAGAATATATTATAGTATTTGCATGTCCTTTCTGTTTAAAAATTTATTTGTTTAATTTTCAGTGAATTGTTTAGGAATGTAAATAAATTGAACATTTTATTGCACTTGCGCTTTTTATTTGTTTCCAGTTAAAATTAACAGTTTTGAACACACAATGAATATTACAAAAGTACTTGGCATTTGTATTGCAGTAAATATAAACCGGCTTATTCAGATGTATTCCTCACACACACATTCAATCCCTCAAGTGCCTAAATTATAGAACATCACTCACAATGTTGAACATAGGAACTTCTTGCAACTGAAAAGGTGTAACATGCTAAGGAGCATTCACAACACCTAAAATCAAAATGCATTCATTGGACTAACAGAGCTGCTGAAAATACTGATGACACACCGAACGAAAGCACCTACTGAACATTTAGAATCGCCACTAATCTTCTACATGATCAATTTTCTAAACATGAAACACATCTAAGTACTAAGAAAATAGCAAGTTGTTAATTCCAGATTGTTCCTATAGTGATACTCAAGGAAATTTCCAAAGAAATGTATCTACCACAATACAAATGAAATAAGACCATGAACTGAGACTGTGATCTTCAAGTGTGCTGCATAGAAGCAAATACAATAACAAGCTGTAATAAATGCATTGATTACAAATTAAAATTATAAAAAGGGAAAACAAAAAGTTTAATATGCCATCCTGTGTCTAGAAAAAGAAAAAAAGAAAAATACAGGTGCATCAGTTACTAATCTTTGCAAGGATATGGTTCACACTCAGATCTACAAGCAATTCAGGCATTGAATTTGAAACAAACAAACCATTAGAGGGGGTAAAAGCCTTCTAAGTTTATTGATAGTTTCAGCTTGAGACAAAATAAAGATGCATTTCTACCCCCAAAAGTGCTCCTATAAGCACACTGCTGTATGTAAAGGTTAGTGGTTAAAACCACTCTGATGAGATCAATCATCTCTCTAGCCCAAAATTGAAAATAAGAGAAGAGACGAAATAAAACAGCAAAGGGATTACAAAATGTATCATCTCAGTATCAATATTTCAAATTACAAAGGTGGGAAGTTTCAGGCATCTTGAAGGCAACAGAAGCCAATTCAAAATTTGGCAGATACATGCATAGTTTTGATACCCAAGGAATCATGATTTTGGGCAAGATGATTGCATTTTCAAAAACTATCCGAATATTAGATTAGAATATAAAAGACATTGAAAGTAAGGGTGGCAAAGAGATAGACACAACTTTGATCAAACAGTCCCCAAATGATTTGTCGAAAAATTAACAAAGCAATTATTTTGTGATATGTTAGCATAGACCCCTTTTTCTTTAGAATGAGATATTTATCATAAAATAAACCAATAAACCTAAGGCTGATAAATCACATTCACATCATGTTTTCACTTTATATATTTTTAACAGCCTTTTCTTTGGTTCCCCATATAACAGCCAGCAAACTTCAAATTTGCTCCAGCCTTTATCATGATGGGATCACAACAAATAACAGAACAATTTGATGAATGCAATTTTGCCTCTCCCTTAGAGCTGACCTTGAGAGAATATGAAAGTGTATGCCAAAGGTTACTTTTCTTTCTTCAACAGCTCACCTTGATTGCTGGCCAAATGTAAAATATGGGTTTTTCTGCACAACTAGCTAGATTGCCTAAGCTAGCAATAAGCACAAATTTAATTGGCAGTTGTAATCTCGGCTTTAACCATACAATTCCATGGGTTTCATTTTGCTACAAAGCAAAGCACATATGAACACAATGGTTGTCAATTGATAACCTATACCATTACAGAAAATAATTGACTGCCATTTTTGGGGGGAGAAACTTACTTCAATGCAAATTTGATTCGGCAGTTCGGGAACATTAAAAAGTAATGTTCAGCCCGGCAAACTTTAGGGAGCACTGTGGAAATTCAACTAAATATGCAGAATACAAAAGTAGCATTAATAAACAAAAACGAGACAGAAAACATATTTAAAGTAAATTTTATTAACACATTATGATGGAGACTACAAGTAAACATCACAGGACTTAGTTCATCAGGACAACAAGAAAGACATTTCATCATCTTTGGGCATAGAAGCATTGTGTTAAACACTAAGCTGTCTATAGATAAAGAACTCAATAGATTGACATTTTACAAATCATGAGATCTGGTCAAGTTCAAACCCGAAAGCTGACTTAAACCGTAGGTAAATGCAGCAATGCCAAAGACAATGATGTATGATATTGCAACACTGTCATTCTAGAACTCAAACGATGAAGACATTTTTACGTAATAGGACTTTTCCCAGTTTCTAGTAGCTCTATACAAAGAAACAATAGATGACTTATAAGGGGGAAAATATAAAAATTATGTCTCCATCAGAAGTTAAGGTCAAATAAATTTCTTGCTTCTTCGCCAATGAGATTTTGGTTAAATCAAAAAAGAAATCTCAAAAGCATTTTACATTCAATATAAAAAAAAAGAAAGAAAAAAAAGTTAAAAGTTGTATCTCATTTTCTCACACTTCTTTACATTCACACAGACATACAGACACACTCTTTCACATACACATACACACCTAGAAATTAGCATTATCAAACCCCAGATGGGGGTATTTGTACCAATCTTTTTTTAGAGCACCTCCTGGTGCAAATGTGCAACTTTGGTGTTGTCCGGGTTAACCAGAGAAACACAAAATCAATCATGCACAGAATGATATAAATAAAATTTAACAATCTTGTTACGTGACCAGCAAAGAAATCAAACATACTCTAAAAAGATTACAGTATGTACAAATAAATAGTCTCACTGAATCAGCTTTAGAACAAGCATCACACAACGAGATGAAAAAGGGAGACATCTATAACAAAATACAAAGATACTTTGACACACCAAAGCATACACAGCACATCAAATTTATCCAACTAACATAGCCCAAACAGGTGTAAGCTTTGATAGCACAAACATGACATAAGCAAAACCAATTCCATAGGGTCATAAAAAGGTCATAAAAGAAAGATTAACTAAGTCACGGCAGTCTTTTTGATTACTAATATTCACTAGGTAACTATATGAATTACCTACAACCAATCTTCTTACGAACTAATTTATTTGGGCTGCAAGGGCCAACTGTTACAAACTATACCTACACATGTTACATTACAATATCTATCACATACATGATTCAGCTAGGCTAGAGTAGAGACCATATAATTACTTGGTAATCAAAACAGAATTTCTACAGAACAACCAAGAGGGCATTAAATTGATACAAGGGAAGTTGGAGGGAAATGTGTGCACCCAAAGTTCTGAATCGTGAGATCTGCATGGAGACTATATTTCTCTGAATTCATCTGATTAGCACATCGCTTGGGAGCACCCATCCAAATACCTATATAAACTGGGCTTTCAAACTAGTTTGAAATTTGCACCTATAAGATATACACTGCTAATCAAGTTTTGCATCACATTAGCCTTTTTAAGACCATTAAATCCCAACAGAACTCCATCCATTTCATTGATTCCAAGAAAAGATATATACATAGCACTTAACAAAAGCTACATTACAAATTATAATCACAAGTTGAATTAATGAATAGCTTGCGGCCCCTCTCTATGTTAGATTTACACAATAATGTATCTAACAAACCAATGATGGTTAAAAGTAATTTCTAAAATTAAACTGGTGTTGACTGAGGATCATAACAAAATGACTCATAATAAACATTCAGCAATGTTCAGAAAAAATATCAAGAAATTAACAGGGTAGAAATATTTAGCCAAAAAGATTCAGGTTGAAACTTGCACTATGGCTCAGAATGGTGGAGAAAAAAAGGGGCAACATATTGCAGTTAACTTTGAAAAACATACAATCATGGAAGACAGAGAAAACCATAATCAAACTACCATTTTAATCCAACAGTCCAAAGCGTAACTTCTGCTAGTGTCATCCTTCAAAATTGTGCTGTAGTTCTTACCATCAATTTTTAAATATGATAGTTAGCTCTGAGAGAGGTTGAAGATATTCTGCCAGTCTATGCCAGTCATAAATACATCTATACATATAGTTCACTTTTCCTGTGGACATGAACCCACAAAATATAATTCCAATCAGAAATTAATTGAGAAAGTATACATTTGATTTTATAATTTACATAATATGATGAGATGATCATATCAAATGGTCAATGCATCAAGACAACGGTAATTTCTTATAATAGCAGAAATTATAAAATGAAAATGCAAGTCAAGATTTAAAATCTTCCAAACCAGGAAAATGTACATAACAAAAAGTGGAAATCTCAGGGCATGAATGACTAAGACAATGGGGCAATTGCAATTTCTACATGGAGACTAGCTTTCATCCACAGTAGGAAGCCAAAATGCCATGTTTGTGCAGGCAGATGCGAGCATCATGTATTTGGGATTGAACTGGACACATTGCACAGGAGCAGTGTGATCAGCCGCAAGAACACATACTTTATAACCTGTACCAGCATTCCATACATGAACTCTTCCGTCAGTTGATCCACTGAAGATAAACTGAGAATCAGGGCTATATGATGCTTCAATAGGAATACCTTTGTTGTTTAAATGACCAGTAAAGGTTTGGAGGGGTGTGCCATGGAAAGCGTCGATTAACCTGATGATGGAACCGTTGGTGGATATAAGAATTGTTTTGCCATCTCTGCTGAATTTCAAGCCTGTCCAGTCACATTCCCTTTCCTGAGTTAATTTGAAAGTGACAAAGGGGCCTTTATCAAAAGACCGTAAGTCATACAATTTTATGCTCTCAGAGTTGACTCCTGCTGCGAAGATCAGGCCCTCTGGGTCATATGCAGCTACAGGTCGACCAGCTAGATGCATTAAACCTTGACAGTTTGGGGAGCGAAGGTCCCACAGTCGAAGTGTTTTGTCGACGGACCCCGACAGGAAAGTGTCTTCGACAGGAGAAATACACAATGTGACAACTTTCTTGGTGTGGCCTGGGAAGTATCTAATGTATTTGTTGTCATGGAGGGACAGATATCGGATGGAGTCGTCCACTTTCGTAGAGCTATGAATGGCCGTATTTTTGGCATGTGTGAAGTGAATTAAATCTACTCCATACTTTTTGCTGTTTACAGTTCGCATCTGAGTTCCTTTCTCGCAATCGTAAATGACAATTTGGTCATCCTCACTGCAGGAAATCAATGTTTCTCCGCTAGGCGAAAAGTCAATGCTGTTGATCTTGTCGGTGTTCTCCCGGAACACCTTCGCAACTTTAAAACTTCGAATAACATTGTCCACTAACTTCATTTTCAAAGTTTAAACTGCCTATCCAGCGCAAATTCGCCACAATCTTCTGGGAAACACACAAAATAGCGAGTAGGGTGCTGATGCGACTCCACACACATGAACAAAATGCGATCGCACGGGCAGGCAAAGCGCGTTCACAAAGCACATCGGCGTCTCACTGCCTTCTGCCACATTCTTTGCCACATAGGTGGAAGATAAAAACAACATGAAGAAAAACATTTTCATATCAGTTCATGAATCAAACTACAGAGCGCAGCACTGCCAGTGAAAACAATAACAAGACTGAGTGCAGACGCTGCTAATGGAGCAATGTACGAAATATGGCATCATCAAAGAGTGTACCGTCAAAATCTAGTGATCTAAGCTGCAATTTTCCCCGCGACGATAGTCACGCGGCTACTTTGCTGCCATGGGACCGCTTTTCAAGCTGGATTCACTGCATCTGCATCGTTACTTTCGACCTGGAACTCGGACAGGCAATGGAGGTATACCTTTACATAGGTTATTAAGTTTTGTCATGTGCAAATTCTTGCTGTCTCGTGACCATCGAGTTTAGGCTTTGACGTGTGTTGGCTGTTACCGTGTGCTTATTACCCTAAGTAACTTTTGTAAATCTCGACTCTAGACAAAATAGTATTTTGCTGCTTACTTTGTCAATATGCTGGAGGTCTGTTTACCTGTATAGAAGACCTTTCTAGTTGTATTTGAATGAGCCTTTATTTTATTCATTTGGTTCCTTATTTTCTTGTTCAAAATATCAGATCACAGTCATGGTTGTCCTTGTCCTACTGATGACTTTGAACTTTTACTTATTTTCAGGTTGTATACCCTGGCCATGTTAAGCTATCAGAGCAAGAGAAGACAAACATTTGCTATCTAGCTTTCCCTGATTCAAATTCAGGATGTATGGGCGACACTCAATTCCATATGAGAATACGTCAAGCTCCTGGCAGACATCCACTAAGACAAGAGCATCGGGCCTACAATCAGAAGTGCCCTGCTTATCTCCAAATACAGCCAGGGTATTTTTATGGATATGTCTACTTTAGACAAGTCAAAGACAAGACCATTCCTCGAGGATATTTCCAGAAGGTTATTTGATCTTCCCATGTTATTTGCTTTAATTCTTACATCACGGTTCCGTCATTAACTTTCTTCTTTCCTCTTTATAGAGTGTTGTCATCATCTCTAGATTGCCCTTTGTGAGCTTGTTCACCAAAGTGAGCCTATTGATATCACCAGAGTATTTCAACCATGGTGAAGCAAGTATCGAGGTGGCGTGTAGTGAGATAGACCGTTGGCCAAGTCCTATTCCTGGTGAAACTGTTAGCTTGCCACTCCTTGGTATGATCATTCAGGTTAGTACCAACAAATTTTCATGCTCTACTAACGTCATGAAGAATTTACCATCAATTTAATTAACCTATCTACTTTATTCATCAGACTCATATACCTAGCAACAACAGTAAAACAAATGGTCATTCACCTACTGCCCTCACACCTACCACAGAAGATGTTGGTATAAACTCGTCGTCACCACTGCCCGGTCCCTTCCCTGTAGAGGGGCCAGCATCCTCCATGTCTGTCACTGTACTACCAACACCTCATGAAGTCAATTTATTCAACTGCTTTTCTGGGGTTGTGTCACACATTCATTTGTTGTGGGAGCTAGTACTAACTGCAGAGCCCCTTGTAGTCATGGCTTCATTACCTACCACATGCTCTGACATGGTACAGGCTCTTGTGAGGTAAGGATCTGAGTTACATTGTTTTATTTTCTGTCTGATTTATAAAATAACTTGCCTCCCTTAAAAAATTTCCTTAATTTATTTCAGCATAATTACTCCACTGATGTATTGTGCTGATTTTCGTCCATATTTTACTATTCATGATAGTGAATTTAAAGAGTATACGACTCGTGCTCATGCACCACCGCCTGTCATATTAGGGGTCACAAATCCTTTCTTTGCCAAAACTTTGCATCACTGGCCACATATAATTAGGATATGTGATTCACCCAAAATGAACAGCAGTGAGTAAACAACTTATGATTTGGTTTAGATTCATGATACATTTTCTGTCTTGCTTCTATTAATTTAAATAAATTATTTTCTTAGTTGCTGCTCACAAGCAGAAATTGAAGAAAGGCACAAATATTAAGATGTTGGATTCAAAGCCTGGGGTGTATACCCAGTATCAGCCATTTTTACAAAAAGACAAGGCTATTCTTAAAAAGCTTATGAAAGGCATGGAAAATAAAAGGCCAGATGAAGTGCAGAGTGCCTTATTACGAAGGCACCTCCTTGAGTTGACTCAAAGCTTCATGATTCCACTTGAAAGGTACATGGCAAGCCTAATGCCACTGCATAAAAATATTTCACCCTACAAGGTAAGCAGTCAAACTAATGGCGTAAAATATAACTTACTTATTAAAATAACAATCACAACAATTTTTGAATATTTGAAATTTCTGACAGGCTCCACCATCGATACGGCCCTTTAACCCTGATGATTTCTTTGCTACACTAAGCACAGCTGGTCCCCAACTAACCAGTGGTATCAAAGGTGATTGGGCAGGACTCTACAAACGTTTCTTTAGGTCACCGAATTTCAGTGGCTGGTTTAATGCTCGATATCGTGAGGTGACCCAGAAGCTGCAGTCATTACAACTGGAGGCACTCTCAGATGCAGTATGTGATACACTATTAAAAAATAAAAAGGATAAACTTTTCCACTTTACTATTTAACCTTTTCAGTTCATGTTCTGACTGTGTTCTGTATTTCATAAATTACAGGATCTGAAAATGTGGGTTAGGGGAAAGCAAGAGGTGGAGGTGGTAGACATGGTGCTCCGAATCCGTCAAAGATTACAAGCACCTCCAGACTCTGAGCCTATTCTGGCTGACACAACACGAGAGAGGTTAGAAATGAGGCTCTCCGACCTTGTCACTTCCCTTCCTGAGGACCTGCGCTCTGTTCTGAAGGCCAGCTGACAAAAGGCCTTAATAGATTCAGGTGACCCTGAATTGAAGACTGAAGACTTTTATTCAGATGTAGGAGAAGATGATATACCTCTTCCCTTTGTTGCAAGTTCTATAAATGCAAGTCCAGCCACTAGTCCGGTTGGAGGATGTGCATGTTTACCTCGCAGAAAGAAATTTAAATAGCATTACTTTCAGTGATAGCAAAGGTTTCTGACTTGCTGGTAAAGTCAGCATAAGAAGACCTCTGGTTACAGAGACATAAAAGACACAGAAGCACATTGTTTCTGATATTGGTGTATTGTGTTGTGCAGAAGTTCTTAAATGTCATGGGCTGGTCCCCAAAATAATAATTATTTTCATAAAATTTTCTTTGAGTGTTTTAAAGATTTGCTGATATTCTATGCATTTTGGGTATATTACTGCTTATCAGTTCCTATGTAAGATGGTTTATCATAACCCTCAAAAGTTAAAGATGGCGGGAGAGAAAATGAATACGCTTCAAATGTAGATAGGTATGAATTACATTTAAAATTTCTTTCTCTCTTGAATGTCATTGTGTGCTGGTACATGTTATACATGTTGAATATGGAAGTACTGTCTATTAATTTATCTTACTTCCTTTTAGTATTGATTACATGGTATTTAGTCCTATAGAGAGAAACTTAACAGCTCTAGCAGTTTTTCAGCACATGGTTTAAAGGTGGTTTTTTTTGTAATTATTTTTCTTCAATTCAATCAATTATTTGAAGATGTCTCAGAAGATTTGGTCACACTGGCTGTGAAAAATTGTTTGCAGAAAACAAAAGAAAAGTACAAATCATACTTCTACTGTACATTAAAATTTTTGAATGTTAGTTTTCTTCTTCTTTAGATAAAACAAAACTTTCTCTTTTACTTGACTTTTATTTGTACGAGCTGAATTGCAGGTAGAAAATGTGCCAAGAAAACTATTCTAAATATTTGTTGAAAATCAAAACAGTTAAATTGTTGCTGAATTACAAAAAATCAACAAGTTATGATTTTAGTTACATTCCTATCTCTTTATTTGTAGTTTCTCACCTTGTTTCTTCCGTAACATTGCGTGGGTGTTCCTAATGTTAATCATATTCAAGGTGTGGAACTGATAGAAAATGTATTACCTAGTTTAAAATCTGGTGTCTCAGATTATCAATGCTCTCTTTGCTGCAATGGTTGGTTGTTTCCTCACCATCATGTAGCTGTCTGGCTCAATATTTTGAAGTATGTAGTTCATTGAATGTTATGTCCATAAAATCTTTGTGGCATTAAAATGCTGCTCTGTGGCAGAAATTTAGTAGAAAATGTTGGTAAGGGAAAAAATGCTATGTGTTGTATATTCTTGTATTGTCATGGTTTGTTGACAGTGAAAGATACATGTATTTGTACAGATAACCAAACTGGATTGGCAATAGGGCCTACACCTTGATTCTAATGGAGGGTTAGTAACAGTATAAATGATACAGTAAGTAGTGCTGCATCATCTTTTCTTTTCTCCTGTTACAATGATATTGAAGTCACACCTTTTGCCGTGGTATAAAATACATATGTACGTAGTTCTTGTGTATTTATCCACTCTTTTTAATCGTAATTGGTCTTAATCTAAATTTAATTTGAATTTGTATCATAAGGGGCTTCATATTCATGGATGTATTGATTACAAAACGAACTGATCTGTAGTCTTCTTGCTTGTGATTTGCCTCAAAAACAAAAGTATCTGGCCAAGTGTCATATTTGTATGCAAGGCAATTAGGGTCGTTTTAGATCCTGGCAACTCATTAGAAGTACCTTCATTTTGTTATCTTGGCAAATGGTAAATATCACATGTCTCATGATTGTGTTAGTACTAGAGCCGCATGCCACTTGTTTCTATGGCCTTTTTCGGGTGAACCTCAAGTTTCTTTTTCTCACAAACTACTTCTTATGTCTTTCGACATATTTTATTTTTGTATGACTTAAGCATTATCACGGAGGCAGGAGGCAGCTATGATAGTGGTGGTGATAAAGATGAGATATGTGAAATATACTCTACGTTTTCCTTAACGCGTGATTGTTGCATTCCCCGTCTCCTCACCCCTTTTCTCGCGTCTTTTACCAAAGCAGAGTGACTCACATCTCAGCAGCTGGGCTCCCGGGTGTTCCCTCCGGGGCGGCTCCAGCTCCAGATCCGGGACCATGATGACGCCTCCTACGGGTGTCCCGGGACGCTGCTGCTGCTGGTGTGGCTCGCTAAGGGTGTCCCGCACGCACCACGCCCGCCCGCGCCCGCCCAGCCGGGCAGTCGTTACTGCAACGGCGATAACATCACGCTTTGAACGCGGCGGGCGACGCGAAGCACTGCAGCACCGGCGCGGACCGGACCGGACCTCATTGCCCGTGATAATACACGACCGCAGCCCTTGGGCGGGCACCAGGGCATTGTTGGTGATTGTTGGCTGGTTACTCTAAACCATCGCGCGCCCCGAGCGTCCCGCCCGCCCGTTCGTTTGCGCCCACGATGTATGGTTTAACGCGCTCTGCCAAAGGCAACGGTTCCTGCCTGCTGCTGCGGGCCCCTGGCGGCATACTGGGCCGCGGGCCGCAGGCGTCGGATGGGTTGCCTACCCAACGGGCGCCTGGGCGCGTGGACGCGCGCGGGCGCAAAAGATGTGAAAAATAAAGACCACCGAGAAAATCAGAACGAAAACCAATTTTCACGTCTACCCATCAATACACATGGTTTAAGTTCACTCACAGTTCACAACACATTAAATATATATATATATAAAAGAGAAAGATTGGCATCACTGCATGCCCGTCTGTCCCTCCGTCCCGTCCGTCCGTCTCACGTCAGTCAACAACCCAAACTTGCCCCATTGCAGCCAGCAGCCAGCCTCAGCCTCCTTGATTTCTGCAAGTCCGTGCCTGGTCCCAGCTGTTCTTTCAGTGCGTAAACACGTTTTCTGCTATACTTGGGAAGTTTTCTGTTTGCTACATGTTGACGTTTGCAATTTGAAAGGTGGGCGGAACAACTAAGGGCTCCGGGCCCAATTACTGCGTCCCCTGCCGCTTTGTTTGGACTCGTCTAGTGCGCTGCTAGACTTGGTCAGACGACATGTCTTCTGCCGGCGTCCAGTCGCCGAGCGACGACACAGAGGATCAGTCTCAATCACCTTCTTTAAACGTAAGTGTGGCGCTTCAAATTTTTGGAAACTTGAGTTGAGTAGGGCGTATCAAAGTAGCATTCTTCCGGGAAGGCTGTCAAGCCAGGTGGCACAGATTTGCTATGAACAGACATGAATTTGACATCCAACTTTTTCAAACTAATATAAATCCCCAATTTCTTTATAATGTCATATTGACAGTACTTCATTAGTGAAAAGTATTATTTCCTGGTAGTACATGATTGACGCAGTGTCCCTAGGTCTCTGAGCGTGATTTGAAACTTCATGCGCCTCGTGTGAAAATCCAATTCCCCCCACTGAGACAGTCGATGTGACTGATGAGTGATTGAAGAATTTTTCAACGGTATTGTGATGCACCTCTGATCCACCTTAAGTGTATAATAGTGTGATATCAGTTGATTGCTTCTTTTTGGTGAAACACATGCATTTCTGATTGGGGCTCTGCCCTCACCACCACTTATCACAATACGTTTCCTAAAATCTGTAGTTTGTTTTTTGGTTTCCATTGAAGCGACCAAAAGGATTTTTAAAAAAAAATTTTGGTCGTCGAACCGAACGCCTGCCTAAAGCAGAGTGGACGACAGGCTTCTCGCGCGTGTGTGTGTGTCGGTCAGGGGGGGACCTGGCGTGGTGTGAGGCCATAAACCTCCCTGAAGCGGCTGCTGCTGGAGCTGCTGCTGGAGGGAAAGCGCAGTGAGCGGAGTAAAGCGACTGTTTGCGGAGAGCACGGCGGAATAATGCATTTACCGGGCGTGGTGGCGCGGAGAGGCTGCGGGGGCGGGCGTCCTGGACGGGATCGTACTCTCCGAGGTGGTTTCAGATAATTACTCCATTTAGAGGTCTCGCCGTCGCCATAAGCACAATTAAAGTAATGGGCCGCCCTGGGCTGGGCCGGCTCTGCGGCCCGGCAATCAAGCAGGGGACAAACGTATGAAACATGCGGGGCGGGGCGGGGCGGGGCGGGGCGGGGCGGGGCCCCTCTAGGACTGCGGCTGGCTGGCGCGGTGGTGGAACGGGACCTGTTGTACATGCTCGCCTAGCACGGCCACGGCAGGGCCACGGCCACCACCACCACCACCACCACCGCCGCACACACCGCACCGCGCCCGCGGGCCTCACTTCCGTCTCCGGCCTTCCCTGCTCTTTCGCTCATGACTTTTTGAAGAAGTTGCGATGGAAAACCTCGTCACACATGTGCTATGTGTGCTAAGCCGCGCATGAGGGATCGCCGCCTTTAGCACCGTGCGTGCCGCAGTCCGGCGAGTTGTTCTTCTCCTCCTTCCTCGCTGTGGCCGGCGGCGGCGGCGGCTCAGGCAGGTGTCCCGCGTGGGCTCGCGTATATACTAAAGCTTGCCCCCACGGACGACGGCCCGCCACTGGCCGCTCACGTGCCCCATTTGGCACGGCGCTCGACCCTGATCCCTGATCCACCACCACCCCCGGGCCGCGCGCCACGCCGCCGCGAGCCTGTTCCCGATCCCTCCGGGATCCCTACGCGGCCCCTCCCAGCAGCACGTACACGTCGCGCCCGCGGCCGGCGACACGGCCGTGCTGGTGGTGCTGCTGCTGGTGGTGGTTACTGACGGCACGCCCGCGCCGCCACCGTCGTCCCCGGAGGTTCTCACGACGACGACGACGGAGTGCTCCCGGCGTCGCGGCGGCGGCACACCCGCGGCGGTCATGATGGCCCTTTCGCGCGGGACGCGATCCGTGTTCGTGGTGTCGGTGTCGATCCCGTAAAGTGCCGTGACGCCCCCTCCTACATCGACGTCGATTCTGTGCGTTGTAGTATATAAATATTTCGACTGGCAAGTTGATGGAAACTGATCCAAACTGTACTCCGGGGGTGTACTCCGGGGGTGTACTCCGGGGGTGTACTCCGGGGGTGTACTCCGGGGGTGTACTCCGGGGGTGTACTCCGGGGGTGTACTCCGGGGGTGAACTCCGGGGGGGTACTCCAGTGTTCCCCAAAAATTCGAGTTGTCGACCCGTCGGCCTTTCTACCCTTTCTCTTGTCACCCCGCGTGCTCCAGTACGGGGCCGGCGGCATGACCCTGGCCGTGGCCGTGGCAATGACCGTGGCCTTGGCGCTGGCGCGCGGGCCGGGCCGGGCCGGGCCGTGGTGGTCAGTCCCGCGGCTCTGGCCCGGCCGGACAGTGGACCACTGGGACAGTGGGGCATTACGCGGCTCGAGGTGTGGCGGGGCGTGGCGGGGCGCGGCGCTCTTGTACAGTACTCGCCGCGACGCCCAGCGCCGTTGCTGCCTGCTTGGTTACCTGGGCACCGCATGCGGCGTGGTGCTGGTGCGAGCGAGACGGCGCGGCGTCGTGGACGGCGCGACGCCGAGGACGACGACGACGACGGCCAAGCCGTTTCGGACGCGACGCCCCGCCGCGGCCGCGCGCGACCACTCCGCGCTCCGCGGGTGCGAAGACCTAAATACCGCCGTGGCGCGGAAAGAGAAGGGCGGAGAAATGGACTTTGTGTTCCCGGCCATCGCCTCCGCCCCCGCGGGTGGCATCTCGAAAGGGTTATTGCCGTGTGTAAAAAAATAAAATAAAAATACCCACCCTTTTACCTTGATCGAAATCTGGACAGGGCAGTTTCTCGTTCGACACCCTGTTTTTGTGGTAAAAGCGGGGAAAATTTGTGTTTATGTTTTTGGTCTACCTCATGCCCCATAATCCTTGTGCCTATGATTTTCACATCTATCCACATGGGGATTCTCATAGGGGAAGGGCAGTCGACTGTTCTCGACGTAGAGCACCTAGTGTCATTAAACTGTAAGTAGGGGTCTCATTTGAGTGCCCTTTGTGGTGGTTCGAAAAATGTTTTGCGAACAAACAATTGTGCTTATTAAAACTTCCTACAACATTAATTGTTTTCGTCCTCCCTCTTTCCCGTGTCTCGCCGCTGCCGCTATACCCGCGCACAACTGTGTCTCCGGTCCCCTTCCTCTCAAACGCTTTGGTCTACGAGTGTAACGCGCGGTGCTCCGAGCCATCCGAGTGCGTTGAGTGGTACCCGAGGGGGGGAGGGGGGCGGGGGTACCACTACACACCTTACATGTGGAGCAAGTACCCGGGTACTGTGCGGGCACGCCACGGCGGGCCGAGGGGGACCCTGCAGGGCTCGGGGTGCCTTACCGTTTACCGCTACCGGCGCCGCACCACAACAACAGTGTGTGTCCTCTTCTCGTGTTTAAGTATCTTGTATGGAAAAATAAAACAAGGGCCCAGTTCTTTTTTGCCCTTGTCGCCGTGGTTGAAAAACTTAAAGATATTGGCTGAAATAACTTTAAAAAAACTCAAAAAAAAAAAAAAAAAAAAAAAACTCTTTTCAACCAACTCATTTCTAATTTGTGAATTGACTGTTCATGTCAGCACCTGCTCAAAACATGTAAATTTTCACTTCACGCAGTCTAAGGACTCGTGGGACCAATCAAAATGAAAAAAACAAAAAATTTAAGAAATATCCGACATAAAAGAGGAAAGAAACGGCGATCGGTACTGTCGTTCGGGGGAGTATACTCTCGAGTGAACCACCCGCTTCTGGGCACAACGATGTAGTAGAGAGAAGGACCTCCGTCGTCGTCGTCGTGCTTTCGAGGCGAGCGACGCGCTCCCCAAAGCCATCCATCGCGCTCCCTTATCGACCACCGCGGGGCCGCCGCCGTCGTCACTCTCTGCTCCGCTCGCGGCCCCGCGCGGCCGCCGGTGACACCTGCGCGACAGCTGCAGGTGCGGTCGCCACTTGCAGCTGATTTGCGGCGCGTGAATTCTTTTATTCTTTCTTTTTCCCTCCCGAGGCGCGAGGAGCGAGGAGTCCCCTGGTGACGCGCGCGGAAATGCCCCTTACCCCCCTCCCCCTCCCCCCACCTCAGGTACCCGAAAAAAAATGTACCCGAGACGCGCCTGTACTTGGGGCTGCACGGGGGCTTCGCGGGATCGCTCACCGCGGGGCTGACGCCCCGTGACATCCGGTGGTCACGTCACCGTCATCTCGACCGGATCGGCCACGCCGCCGCCGTGCCGCGGGGGTCCCGGTGCCGCGGGCACCCTACTAGTGGTGACCGTCAACCAGTCCGTCACCAGGAATGTGTCGCGCGCGCCGTTGGTGACGCCCGAGACGACGGCGTTGATCACGACGATGAGTGAACCGCAAAAATGTTGAACGAGGACACGCCACGGGCGAAGCTGCTGCTGCTGCTGAGGTTTTTTGCGAAATTGGGTCAAAAGTGGAGCGGTGATGCATTTGCAGACGTTGGGCC